GAAGTGATCGAAATTTTTCTTTCAAACCTTGCAAAATATCTGATAGGTCATTTTCTGCAGACAAATTACTGGCATTATGAATGGTAGGCTTATTATTATCTTCATCGATTAAATTTACTGTATTCATATAATTAATTGAATCATTATTTATTTATTTAGACTGGAATTTACAGATTTAACATGAAAATCAGAATCTGACAGTCTTCTGCATTTATAACAAATAAGCAAGTCGTCAAGAAAAGCCGGAAAATTGTTTGATAAGGTTGATGAAAACTTTCTCAAACTCTTACCTTTATGTCCTTCTAAATTATATGGATTACTACACCTATGTCTACTTACAATTCTCTTGTCTTCCGAATCCATTATAGAAAGAGACAAATAAAAGTCCTAAAAAGGACTGATTGAAATTAATTTAAAAATTTTAGACTCTTGAAAAGTTTCTGAAAATTCTTTAGAGTCTAGAAAAAAAAATTATTAAAAGAGAAGACAAAAATGAAATAAAGATATAATGAGAAATAAATGAGTAAAGAGGAATTAAGTAGGCTAAAGAACTATAAGTATATCGGATCTAGACTGCATTTATTAACGTTGAGAACAAGTATTTTCTAGTATGATGATAGCTGCACAACCGTAGTCGTAGGGAGTTATAGTAATAATAAATAATAACTATAATAACTATCAGCGCGCTGATTGACTCAAGCTGTCACGTGAGAATCGCGTAAGCGCACAGTGGTAAGAAATGCAGAGTTTTGTACAAAATTCTCCTGACAACACAAATCTTGACCATTTTCAATTTTTTTCGAAATACTGAATAAGGTTTTTGCAACATAGCCTTAAAAAATTGATTAAACCTTTTGAATAATCAATCCTATATAAAAAAAGCATTAGCAAGAAGTCTCGAATTAAACAATTTAATACTCTCGAAATTACTCTAATGGTCGAATTAATTATACGATTAAATTCACGTAAGAACAGCTTACGCAAAACTCCTTAAACTTAACAATTTTCGACCAAATTATTTTTTCTAGGTCAGAAATTAAAGAGGGATTATTACTTTTCAAAATGTGATAATTGCAAATTTTTTTTAATTTACTTTTATTAGCCACCCGCCCGCATCAGAACAACGAAAATTGGAAAAAAGTCAAAAAAAATTCATAACTCGAAAAATTTTTAACCAAATTTTTTTTAGGTCAGAAATTCAAGAGGGCTTAATGCTCTTTTAGACGTTACTATTGCGAATTTTTATTATTAGTTTTTAATAGCCAGCATTCCTACCCGCCCGCATCAGAAAACCATATTTTTAAGAAAGTCTGTTAAAATTCGAAATTAGCGGTCCCAAAAACCTACGAAAAAGAATATTCATTTTTTACCCATTTTTTAAAAAAAGCGACCCCAAAATCCCCCGAGTAACAACATTCAACTGAACTCAGTTGAATTTATTGAATTTTCAAAAATAAATTCGCCATCTTCGATAGGCCATTTTGAATTTTTTAATTCGGACCATATGTTTGTATTATGTAAACTCACAAATATGAAAAGTAGTTGTTTTGAATAATTTTGGTCTTAAAATGTAATAGTTTTTACAAGATTTACGTCACATTCCAGCTTGTGGTGGCCGCCATTTTGGAAATTTCAAAATCACCTACTCGGCGATTTGCGATTGCTTTAAACCCATAGCATTTCTACATATATCTACTACAAGAATATGCAGTTTTTAGAAAATCGATTGTTTTGAAAAAAGATGTGGTATTAACCCCTTAAATGATTTATGAAAATTACCTAATATTATTGTTTAACATATTTTACACAATTTAGTTTACTACAATATACACTTGAAAAGCATTTATTTATTGTAAATGTTTATAGCTGTCATATGAATCAGAAACGAACATAACCTAAATTTATTAATATTTAATAAAATAATTGTAATAAATTATGAAACATAAATTGAAAATTAAATTTAATGAACAAAGAATAGCTCTACTGAAAATTCTCATGTAGGATCTTATATAAGATCCCACACAAATTCATATATTAAAATCCACATCCCAAGAAGCACGTAATATAACCTCAATATCAAGGTAATATTACATGTAAGATTTGTAATATAACGTTGTAATATTACAGTAATCTTACAGTGATCTTAAAATGTCCGCCTCAAGGTAATATTACCGGTAATGTTACTGTAATATTACGCGCTAATATTAAGGTAATATTACAGTAATATTATACCGTAATATTAAGGTAATATTACAAGAGAATATTACAGTAATATTATGGGAACATTTCTTTACGAAAAAAATCTACCCATCCAGGGAATCGAACCCCGAACTCAAAGCACACGAGTCCAGAGTTTTACCAACAAGCCAAATTGACTTATAATATATTTACGTTTTTTATGCTTTATGAATAACTCAAATCAGTCTGTAATATTACTGTAATATTACCGTTAATATTACTATAATATTGCCGTTAATATTACTGTAATATTACCGTTAACATTACGGTAATATTTCCGGTAATATTACCTTGAGGCGGACATTTTAAGGTCACTGTAAGATTACTGTAATATTACAGCGTTATATTACGAATCTCACGTGTAATATTACCTTGATATTAAGGATATATTACGTGCTTCTTGGGATGTGTCATCCCGGTAAGAATGATGCATTAGAAAGTTTAAAAATTTTTTTAATTCCTATGATTTCCTTTTTGTCCATTGCATTTGATTCCCCCGAGACCCTGGCGGATTATATGGTGCGAATGCTTTACGAAGTTCGCGGAGCATTCGTGAAACACGAGATTGAGATTGAAATTCTGTCTAAAATGTATAAAAAATGATTAAATTAATAGTATAATTATTAAAACCAATGAGTCTTATGCATTTTAAGATGATTATTGTTAGGTAAATAATTATAAAAATTTAATGTTTTTATTAATTTCAATCTATTACAGTTTATTATCAACATTTGTCGATAATCAATACAGCCGCGCTTTTTATCAGATAGGTGGCAGCACTCTTTTTTTATTAAAAGCAAAATTCTTATTTGTTAAATGGAAATATTGGTAAAAAAATATATTATTTTATAAAAAAATTAATATTTTAAATATTTATGAAAAAAATTGAATTTTTTTATCAAAAAAAAAGTTGAAAAAAATTCATTTTAAACGGAAATAATGGTGAAAAAAATGTATTATTTTTTCAAAAAAATTAATATATTAATCAAAAACATTGGTAAAAAAACAATTTTTTATAAAAAAAACAGTTAAAAAATTAATTTTAAACGGAAATATTGGTGACAAAAATTTATAATTTAATCAAAAAAATGAATATATTATCAAAAATATTGGTAAAAAACAATTTTTTTATTAAAAATATTGTTGAAAAATATTAATTTTAAACGTAAATATTGTTTAAAAAAATTCAGTATTTAAACAAACATATTGGCGAGAAATTTATTTTTTTTTATCAAAATTATCGTTTAAAATTAATTTGTTTTTTTCACCAATATTTGTTATTAAATTATTAATTTTTTTGATACAATAATACATTTTTTTACCAATATTTTCGTTTAACAAATAAGAGTTTTGCTTTTAATAAAAAAATACAGGAAAAATTTAAAGAAAAGAAAAAAAGAGTGCTGCCACCTACCTGCTGAAAAGCGGGGCTGCTTTGATTATCGACAAATGTTGATAATAAATTGTAATAGATTGAAATTAATAAAATCATTAAATTTTTATAATTATTTAACAATAATCATCTTAAAATGCATAAGACTCATTGGTTTTAATAATTATACTATTGGGATCCGCAGCACTGCGATGCGCTGCCTAGTGACAAATTAATAAAGCTTCGTTAGCAGGTAAAATTTGACAGCCAGAACGTGATTATTTGCAATTTGCAAAAACAAATAACAAAAATGGAATTTTATCCGCGAAAAACGAAAAGCAAAGAGTTTTGCTGCGTTTTTGGCTGTTATTTGACAGCTTGTAAACATAAAAATGTTCGTTTTTTTCATTTTCCCAAAGCTGGAGACTCATATATAAAAGTGATTAACTTATTCGATGAAAGTGAACTACTCGATCGTCGAAAAGCATGGGAAAATGTTTTAAAAATGGGTAAACCAGCCACGGATTCCATGTTGGTTTGTTCTTTACACTTTTCTAAAGAAGATTTTTACTTGGCAAGTATGTTCAAAATGATTACTTAATTAATATAATGTTCCTTTATAATTAAATAAATTCTATTTTGCGTGCGATATACGCGTGCTACGAAATTTAAATTTGTACAAAATCTATATTATATATTCTTTTGACATCATTTTTTATGATATGTATTTATAGTAATAAAAACTTAATTTAAACTTAACAAAACAAAACGTAATTCAAATTATTTAAAAATTAGTAAGATTCTATAACCTCAAAAAAATTTTTTCTGTTTTTCACAGATAAAATTCTTATAATAATACAAGTTTTTTATATTGTACAATTTTAATAATTTATTAAATTTTATTTAATTAGTTATGAAACTTTCAAGGAAAGAATAAATGTAAAAACTTCTTTCTTATTCTTTCAAACGTGGACATTTATAATTCGAAAGCAAAATATTTATACTGTTAAAAATTCAAATTATCAACAATTTCCTACTATTTTTTCTTTCTTATTAAATATATTAAATTTTTTTGTTTATAAATATAATTTTATTTTCAGGTATTACCTCCAAAAAAATAACTTTGTTAAAAACTGCAGTCCCTTCGCTTAAATTGCCAAAATCTACAGTGGATACAAAAATATTGTCAGCAAAGAAAAAATTAGAAAATGATGCGAGAAGCCAAAGGTTAACAAATCGTTCTGAACTTAAAATTAATAATAAAGAAATTGCAATTTATGATTAAGAAATTTCAGTCAATTTTCCGAGCGAAATTGAGACTCCTGATCCAGCTCCTGAAGAAGAAACGACTAATAATTCAAATGATCCACTTTTTTCAAAATCTGTTGATATGGGCACGCAAACAGCTCCGACTTTTTTTTGTACTGAGACTACAGAAGTAGGAGTTGAAGTGAAAAGTGAAGATTCGTGCAATAATAATTTTTCAAATGATGTCGTTATTGATAAAGAATTAAGTACATTAACTGGCATTGAAAAAAGTGCAATTTTAGACACTCTGGTGAAAATTGTGGAACTTATCGCACCTCGCTTTCAATTCCACAATGCAAAATTGACAATACGCCAAAGAATAATAATGTGTTTTATGAAACTGAAACATAATTTGAGTTACGCGTTGTTAACATTTCTGTTTAAGTCTTGTTCTGAAAGACATTGCCAATCTGCAATTGTCTTTCCATCAAAAGAAGAAATAGATAAAAATTTACCGACATGCTTCGAAGATTTTAAGACTACTCGAATTGTTCTTGATTGTACAGAAATTAATATCCAAAAACCCAAAAATCTTTGCTGCCAGTTGGCAACGTATTCTTTCTATAAAAGTACATACACTGTCAAATACATGACAGGCGTCACACCTGGTGGTTTAATTTCTTTTCTAAGTAAAGGATATGGTGGTCGAGCATCAGAAAAAGCCATTTTTGAACAAAGTGGTTTGTTGGAATTGATGAAAGAAGAAAAAAATCAGAGTATTATGGTCGATAAAGGATTTCTCATAGAAGATGTCTGCAACGATTACGGAATGAAATTAATTCGTCCGCCGTTTGTAAAAAATAAAAAACAATTTGCCGAAGAAGGTGCTTTAAATACCTGTAATATTGACAGCGCACGAGTTCATGTTGAAAGGGACAATCAAAGATTAAAAGTTTTTGCTATATTAGGATCAAGGATGCCATCGTGTCTTGTTGCAAAATGTGACAAAATTATGCCGATTTTATGTGCGATTGTAAACTTAAGTTCACCAATCTTACAAGATAATAGATTTCTGACCAATGTTAATTGTAACGGATCTGAAAATGACACAGGTCAACCTGATTTGTAATCGTTAATATCAAACGAATAATTTTGTATCGTTTTATTTTATTTATTTTGTGAAACAATAAAATCTATATGAACATAAACATAAACATCTGTTTGTAATTACAACTCCTGTTCCTTAATACCTACGTTATGTATCATATTGCAAAAATAAGCTTTTTTTAAATCAGGCAGCATTTTTTCCAAAAACTCAGGGTCGATTTCAACTGTTGTTACTTCACAGGTTTTATCATAAGAAGCATAAACAATGAAATCTGCCTTCCTCAAATTTCAAATCGACATCCCAAGTTGAACTTGCCCAAAGTATTTATGTTTTACATTTAGAGTACGATTAGATTGATCAATGTATCCCTCGGAGCACATACTGGGTCACACAGACCCTGTCATTAATTTCAATGAAGTGTAATTTGAAAAGTCGGCAATACAACACGAACCTAAGGCCATATAGTGGTAACTAACTAATAAGGAATAATAAGTAACATGATAATCCAAAGAAAATAATAAAATACTAGTAAATATGTTATTAAAAAAGTATAGTTTTAAAAAGTTGTGTCGAAAATCACATTTTTATCGTCTTAAAAGTTACCTTCGTTAAGGGTTCATACCACTTTGTCAACTTCAAAAAATCGATTTTTTTACGGATTTCGAAAGAAGGACATTCCAGGAATGTTGTGTAAAAATTGCAGAAAGATCTGAGCAGTGTAAATATATTTTTTACGATTTTATTTGAGAGCGTACATTGGCGCGCCTGTTACTCATACGCGCCGGTACATGCGTTCCACGATACTCCGCGCTCGGTCAGCGTTTTTACATAAAAATGGATAAAAAATTTGACAGGTGGGGAAATAGTCGTCCTACCTCGAGACCTAGAAAGCGAAAATTTCAAGGTAATCGATATACTAATGAAGGTAATACGGATTATATCAGCAAATCGGCCGAAAAACTGCGAAAAAATGACTACAGTAACTTCGATGTGAACAGTGACCAGACGGTCACCTACTGCATCCTCAACTTTTTTTTAGTGTTTTCTACTTTACAAAAACATATAAAGTGTAAAGTTTGTAACGGGGATGTATCATTTAATCAATGTGGACTACGAGGCCTAAGTTTCAAATTGTGTCTCACCTGTAGTTGCGGAAATAAATATATAAACTCGAGTTCAATGATCGGAACCGGATATGAAGTTAATCGTAGATTTGTTTTTGTAATGCGATTAATTGGTGTTGGAATTCACGGCATAAAGTTGTTTTGTGGGCTCATGGATTTAGGTCACGGATTAAATTCTAACGCTTTTTATAAAATACATGAACATATAAGCACCGCAGTAAAATCTCTTTTTGACTTAGTTACACGTAAAGCTGTCGATGAAGAAAAATGTTTGAATACCGAAGCCGGAAATACTGAGGACATTTTATCCGTTTCTGGTGATGGTTCGTGGGCAAAAAGAGGCTTTACTTCACTCGTTGGCATTGGTTCATTAATTGGAAAGTATAGTGGAAAAATTTTAGATACTACAGTGCGATCAAGTTACTGCAAAGCTTGCGAACGATGGAAAGGACAAGAAGATACAGTCGAATTCAGTTCTTGGTATCACATGCATAAAGAAAATTGTTCCGCGAATCATGAAGGCAGTGCAGGCAAAATGGAAGTAGACGGTGTTTGTGAAATGTTTGTGCGATCCCCTGAAAAATTTGGAGTTCGTTACGGCTATTATATCGGTGATGGAGACTCGAAAACATTTAAAATGTTACTCAATGTAATGCCATACGGAGAAGACTTTACGGTAAAGAAGAAAGAGTGTGTGCTACACGTGAAAAAAAGACTTTACAAGAGGGCATCTGAAGGTAAAAAAGCTCTATCAAAGGTGCAAAAAGCCTTAAAAAACGCAGAAAAAAAGCCGAGGAAGAAAAAAGTCACGCGAAAAAATTAAGGCCCACAAAAAAATCGATAGAAAAGAAAACAGGAAGGAAGAAACCGCCACAAAAAAAAGAAATTCCTCCAAAAACAGCAGCTTTGACAATTAAATTAATGAAAGATTTGTCAATTTATTATGGTTTGGCAGTACAACGACATAAAAATTCAATCGAGGATATGCGTAATGCGATTTGGGCAACATTCTTTCACAAAATCTCAACAGATACCAAGCCGCAGCACATGCATTGCCCAACAGGTTCCAATTCGTGGTGCGAGTTCAGAAAACGTGAATCTACCAGATCTTTAAAAGGGTATAAACATCCTCCTGCACTCGCTCAAGAAGTTCAAGAAATTTTGAAGCCCATATACGATGACTTGACAAAGGAAGAGTTATTAGAAAGATGCTTAGGCGGAAATACGCAAAATAATAACGAGTGCTTTAATAAGTGTGTGTGGTCGATGGCACCTAAACATATTTTTTGTGGACGAAAAACTGTTGAAATTGCGACTCAAACTGCAGCATGCATTTTCAACGAAGGATTTGCACCAGTTTTAAAAATAATGGAGGTCATGGGCATAAAAATTGGATCCAGAGCTATTCAACACGCCAGCGAGCGCGACCAAAATCGTATACGCAACGCTGACCGCCTCACGTCTTTTGCTTCTGAGGAAGCCAGATCAAGCCGAAGAGATGCTAGAATCGAAGAAAATGAATTTTATGAAGAGACAAGGAATATTGTATGGTCCCGGCATCGACGAATAGACGTAAGTAAAATTTTTCAACAACGAAACTTTAAATTCGTTTTTCTCAAAACAACATTTTTCCATACCGCGGGATGTTTTTCTCGGAAACTACTGGACTGATTCTCAAAATTTTTTTACGAAAAACTTCGTCACATAAGTGGGTATCGCCGGAACTAGAATTATGAAAAAATATTCATTTTTACTATTTTTTAAACCCTAAAACTGACAAAAAAACCTTAATTTTCGAAAAAAAATTTTTAAATTGCCGCCATTTTGTTATTTTTGCATAAAAATTAAAAATTCTAGTTCGGGCGATAGGTGCAGTCCTACTGAAGATAAATCAACTTGGATTTTGTGTTTTAGATTTTTCTAACCTGAGAAATCAATCCCGCAGCTGGCATCGGTATTTTTAGCAGGTCTAAAATTATTGTTAAATTATATATAAACAAATAATATTTTTTGAATAAAATGAGGTTTTTTATAAAGTTAAAGAGTGTATTTATTGAACTAAAAAAAATGCAGATCAATATAATCCTTAGGAATCGTAAAAAAAATTATAGAAAATAGCTTCATTTTCAAGCGTGTAAAGTGGTATGAACCCTTAAACTACAAAATAAATACCTTTTTTAAAAAATAAAATAAGGTGGTATTTTTTCCCTTATTCTAACACACTTCGAGAATATAAATCCCAATTTTTAGCTTAAAATATTAAAAATTACAAAAGTTACATTTTTTTTTTAAATTCAATTTTTTCTTTTTAATTAGTTAACTTCACGAATTTTTTTCAATATGCAAATAATTTAATAATATTTCTAAACTCCATATTCTTATTTTACAAGGTTCAATGAATAAAAAAATATTTTTTTTGTGTTGATCAGTCCAATAGTTCAAAAATGGGGGAGTTTTGTAAAGTAAACAGGGTCACAGCGACCCAGACTGTGCTACTTGTTCGAAAAAAGAGGTGTGTGCTCCGAGGGGTATTTTAACATCTTGAAAACATCTGCTGCTGTCATTTCTCTTCCATTATAAGGATACTTTATTTCAATTAATTTATCTGGTCTTCCATCTTTTGAAAGAGTCACTCCATCTAGCGAATATCCTAAAAACGGATTATCACGTGGAATTACTAATTCAAGTTGCGTTTGGTATTTATTTTCATAAGCTTGACGTGCATGAGGTTCGTTATTAATTCCGTGTTTCATAGCAGGAGTACGAACTGAATTAGTAGGGTAAAAATAATTCATAGATTTCTTTTGCCAATTCGGTTTTTTATTATTATAGTAGGTGAATATTTCGTAGCAACGAGAACCAGTGAGTCGGAGTTTGCGGTTTTCTATCCAAACACGTTTATTGTTTAGAGTTGATTTACAAATATCAGTAGGATCGATATTACTCAGTCGTCTGTATACATTTTCGCAACACGTCTCTAAATCTTGACCAATTTTAACTTTTGATAACATCTGCATAAATTCTGAAGTCTGATTATTTAAAATGATTTCTATTTCTATTGAATTGCTCGATTTATCATTGTTATTATCATCTGAATTCGGAGAAAAAGTTTCATGTCGACCACACCTACGAAGCCAAAAAAGAAATCATGAATTTTTAATATATCTTTTATACATATGAATTAATAACTAAAAATTAATCATTTAAATGATTATAAAAACTGAGACTTCATAAAAATAGAAAGACGTGTTATGTATATGTATACAAAAATGTCGGTCAGAGTAAATAATTGTAATAATACACAAGCAGATTATAAAATTTGATTAATAATAAACGAAAATTCGTAGATCACATAATAAATTCTGTATGAAGTAAAAATTATTTGTAAAAAAGAAAAATATGAAAAGTTCATGTTTATCATATAATTGATAAATGGTGTGTATAGTAAAAATTATTTGTAAAAAATAAAAGTAATAAACAAAAATTCGTAGTTCATATAATATACGCAGTATAGTAGAAATTATTTGTACAAAGACAAAACCATGATAAAAAATCGAAGATTTGACAATATAAAATAATAAAAATTAATTTCAGAAGAAATAATATTCTTCGAGCAAATTGTAAATATTTATGTCAAATTGAATATTGTTAGGGTAAAATTATTTATCCGTACTTATGTTTTGTTAATGCCGAATCCGGATTACAAGTAAATAATAACTTTTCAATTTTTTTTTTGTTTCATCGGAAACTGAAAATGAATATTCCTTTTTAAATTTGTCAGCACAGCAATCGTGGATTTCTATTGGTGCTGGTTCGTATTGTTCCAAGCAGGCCGTTCGAGGATTGTCCCACAAGCATTTTTTGTCGGTAAAGGAAACGGAGTCCAGCTCATCAGTATTCTTACTGAAATAAGTTCATAAATTTTTATTAATTATACAATTTAAAAAAACCGGTGATTCGAAGAAAAAAAAGCGAAAATGCAATAACATAACCTTAAAATTAAAAAATAATTTTAATATGGTAAAAAAATTTGTATAAACTTGCTATACTGTTATTAAAGTTTTAATTCGATAAGAATGTTAATTATTATACTTTATCATTATAATAAATATTAATATTAAATATATACTTACATTGTCAACAACAACAAAGTTGCTACCACATGTTTACACTTTTGGCTTTGGCCAGCGGTACACGAACATTTGATCAAATTTATTTTGCCGTTTAATAAGCTACGTTTTATTTCATGTGGTGCATCTTTTATTTTCGATGATTGAATGCAAAATGCAATTAAATTAATTAAATTGTCTTCCTCTGCTTCCTTCCCGCAAAACAGAAGATGTCCCGCATGTAATAATTTTTCACCTTCCAGAAAATTTCTGGTTGATGCAGTTGCATTTGCAAATGCACACACGTCACTTATATTTAATATCATAACGATTTTTTTTTCAATTTGACGTTTTAATACTATTTTCTCATTATTTCAATATCACGCACCGCAATGTTTACAATTATACTACCTGCTAACGGAAGCCATATTGAAACGTCACTATGACTGTGACATCACGATACGTCACAATTTCAGATCCCAATTAATTTAATCATTTTTTATACATTTTAGACAGAATTTCAATCGCAATCTGGTGTTCCTCGAATGCTCTGCGAATTTCGTGGAGCATTCGCATCATACAATCCACCAGGGGAGGTATCGAAAAAATTAAAGGTGAATTCCTTTCTATGACTCTCGAAACTGGAACATAACCTCAGTTAATATTTAAAGTAAAATTTTTGTTATAACTGCTATAGATTACTAAAAAAAAGTATATAAATGAAAAAACTATGTTTTATAATGAATGTTGTCATTGCAAATTACTTGTTTTAGTTAAAAACTGTAAAGTTCAAAAATAAAAAAATTAAGAAAAATTTTTCTAAAAGTAACTTAACAGTTTTTTTAATAGAAAAACAAGTTAGGCAACATAAAATTATCATTTTAATATTTTCCAAAGTTCTAAAGTGGTGAAATTATGCTTTAAATAACAAATAAAAAATAATAAAGTGGATTGCATTAAAAGGAATTAAAATATTAATATTTTAATACTAGTTTTCGGTATTCAACAGGCTTCATAAAACCCAGTTAAAATTTTAGTCACTGATAGGAACAGAAAAGAATTCAAATGTGTAGACAAAAACGGAATTCAAAGGTATTTAGTTTATAGTAAATAACAATGCTTCTCCTTACTGAAAATTCTCATGTAGAATCTTATATAGGATCTCACATAAATTCATATATTAAAATCCACATGAAGTCCTATGTGTTATGTAAGAAACTATATAGGATCTTATGAAAAATTATATAGAAAATTGAGACATGATTATTGAACCTCCGCGCATGCTGCCTCGCGGGGCAGAACATTGCAGAGGTTTTTTTACACACACAAATTACACACTTATATGCTAGAAAAAGGAACCCAGATAAAAAGTACAACACTTTTTTAGTTCAATGGAAAGAAAAAAATTCAGAAAATAAAGTTACTCAGCAGGGGAAGTCGGAAGCCCCAGCAACGGCAACTTCGATTTCGGAAAAAAGGCCAGAAAAGAGACGCCTCGAGGACTCCACCTGAGACAGAGACAAAGAAAACAGGCGAGTTGGCCGTAAAAGAAAACCCGCCTGTTGCCGATGTCGACTCTGAGACCTGGATGAAGTCAAGATATGAAAGCAGGGGTCAGGCCCGCTGAGACAAAAACCGAGATTCTGTCAATTAGAAGAACAAGAAGGGATGAAATCCTTCTGGTTCTGAAGAAGGAACAGGATCCCTCTAGTTTTAGAGGTGCCCTGACCACCACTCTCAAAGGAAAGGCGGATGTGAAGACGTTGGTCTCGGTGAGTCAATAGATACTACACCTCGACGAGACCATCGTCGACACAGAAATTGTTGAGGCAGTCCGAGTAGCACTGGGCAAGCCAAATTTAGAAGTACCATGCCACGTCTTCATTCGGTATGGTCACAATAAGATGGCGATTCTGCAACCCCCGGAAACGGATGCAGAATCCCTTCTTGGGACGGAAAGAGTGAAGATTGGCTGGGTAAATTCCTGAGTTCGTGCCAGATGTAAGTATCTACAACTGCTACTTCTCCCCAAACGATCCCTTTAAAAAATTCGATGCCGAAATTCGAGGTCTTGAAGAAAGCGTTAGAGCTTTCGGAGATCATGTCCTCATTGCGGGGGACTACAACAGTAAAACGACAGAATGGGGAGAGAGCCGTCTAGACAGGAGAGAAACCTTGATATCGAATATGGTTGCAGCGAACTATCTAGTGGTGATAAACCGGGGTCGACAGTTTACGTTCAGGCGCGAGGTAGCAGGGTCGATCGTCGATTTAACAATCGCGTCGTCCTTCGTGGCTCGTAGAATGAGAGAGTAGAGCGTTCTGGACGAGACGACCATGAGCGACAACCAGTATATTGAGTTTATAGTCTCTGAGAAAAATCTGGAAGGGAACAATAGACTGCAAGATGGCAGCAAGAAGCCCTCCTGGAATCTCAGAAGACTAAATAGGGAGAAATTGGCGGAGTCTCTAACCGAGTTCCGGTTATTTCAGGAACTCGGTTGTACGACAAAACTAATTACTCTAGAAGAAAAAGTGCGTAAGACGAGGCAAGTTATTATCGCGGCGTGCAGGAATTCAATGCTTCGCCGGCAGAAAACAAAAATGAAGAAAGCTCTGTACTGGTGGAACGACGAACTAGCCGGTCTAAGAAGAGAATGCCATGCAGCGAGGAGGAAGTATACCCACTCTAAGGGAGACCTCCTGCTAAAAGAAGAGTGGCATAAAGCCACTCGAAGAGCTTAAAAAGGTGGCAAAGTCGCTGAAAAATGACAAAGCGCCAGGCAATGATGGAATTCCAAAGAGATCCTCAAAGAGGATCTTTAATACATGTCTGGAGTGTGGAAAGTTTTTCAGTGACTGGAAAACACAGAAGTTGGTCCTCCTTACACGGATAAAATCTAAAAAAAAATGAGTATTTTTTCTCATAGCACTGGCTACTGTGTAAACCAAAAAATTAAATTTCAAAACTCTGAATGTTCTCCACACAGCACTGAATGCTCTGCAGAAAATAATCACAACTTTTTTTGACAGTAAACAGAGTTTCGTTTCATATTAGTTGACAACAGATTATTCAGAACTACAAATGTATAGCAATAAATTCTTTGCTCGAAGTCGTGAATGCTTTTCTCACAGCTCTGAGTACTGTGTAGAATTATTTTTTAGATTTTAGAAAACAAAGAAACGTTAAACGTCAATTAAAAAGAAGATAGACATGGTTATTTTTTCTTTTCAAATATTGATTTTAATTGACATGTTTATAAACAGTTAATGAATAACAGAAATAAAGAAATGAAGATTTCAAAAAGTCTTTTTAAAAATTATCGCTTTTTTAAATTTTTCAGTTATATAGCAAATAAAGTTATTATACAATAATGAAATAATAATTATTTTTAAAATGAATTATTGTAGGTAAATTTTAAATATTTATTTGCATTTCACACGTTTTAAGATTTTAAAATTTCTTAGCTAATATCAAATTACAACCTAATCTAAATTTATAGATAATTATGATTAAAAAATATTAAGTTTCAACATTATTATTTTAAATATTTATCTCGTGAAGTAAAAAAAATTATTATTTCTTACGTTTATTAATAAAAAGTAATTTGTTTAATATTATTAAAGTTTATTACTTCTTATTTAATTAAATAAAAATAATATTAGTTAAATAATCTGTTTTTCATAAGAATATAAGAAAACATCTAAAATTGATTAAAATTGTCTTTAACGCTTGTTTAAAATTGTTATTTATTTTTTATTAAAGGTTAAATATTCTTTTATTTTTTTTATCCTCGAAAATAATTCTACACAGTACTCAGAGCTGTAAGGAAAGCAGTCACGACTTCGAGCGAAGAATTTATTGCTATATTCCTAGCTTTGAAAACTCTGTTGTCCATTAATATAAACCGAAATTCTAATAACTGTCAAAAAAATAGTGATTATTTTCTGCAGAGCATTGAGTGCTGTGCAGAAAACATTCAGAGTTTTGGAATTTTAATTTTTGGTTTCTACAGTAGCCAGTGATGTGAGAAAAAATACTCAGTGCTTTCAGATTTTCTCCGTGTAGGAAAGGGGGATAAACCTCTAGATAAAGTCTCATCAATTAGACAAATTTGTTTATTGGATACGATGGAGAGGCTACAGAGAATCCTGGTAGGCGAAAGTAGCTTATACAAAAACCAATTTGGCTTTAGGAAGGGCCGGTCAACGGTAGACTTACTGGAAGATACGTTTCTAACCGGGTTCGCGGATGTCGTGCTTTTGGTATGCTGTGCGGACGAGATAAATCTTTTACAAATAAAACACGATGATAGTCTGCGACGAATAGGGTTTTGTTTGAACCGACCTAGCCTGAAAATGGCTGTCGATAAAACCTAGGCTCTGCTTGTCACACACTGGAGTGACTTCCGATTCCTGCGGTTGGAAATTGGAGGATCTGTAGTTCCATGGGGGACAAAACTGAAGTACCTGGGAGTGACGTTGGACAAACGTTTGAGTTTCGGCCAACATATTAACATCCCGTCACTCCAAGCTACCGAATGCATGGAAAACCTTTCGAGGATGATGCCCAATATCGATGACCCCAGGAAAAAGAAACGTAGACTAGTGGCGACTGTGGTTCAAGCAAAGCAGCTTTATGCTGCCCCTGTTTGGGCTTCGGCCCTAAAGTTCCATAGCATCTCTGACAGGCTTCTCGCGGTCCAGAGAGACCTGGCACGAAGAATAGTGTCAGCCTTTAGAACAGCGTCTACTTGTGTGAGTCTAGAAGTAGACTCGTTCAGAAATGGCAGGAGAGATGAGATGGGGAATCTAAAGGTAGGTGGACCTACTGTCTGATTCCCCACCTCGTCACATGGTTAAAAAGGAAACACGGTGAAGTTGGCTACTACCTTACACAAGCGTTGTCGGGTCATGGTTGTTTCGGACAGTATTTATATTGCTTTAAAATATAAGCAGACGCGAGATGTGTGTATTGCAACGGTTCGGGTGTCGACGAAGCAACACACATTGACGACGCGGAGCACACGCTCATTTTCTGCGGGCACTGGCGTGAACTTAGACAAGCCATGTTTTCGGCTGTGGGCACTAAAGTCACAGCTGAAAACATGGTTTTTATAATGTTTCAGAGCGCTGACTCTTGGAGGAGCATCGAGTCCGTCATCATTCAAGTAATGAGGACGAAGGAAGACGACAAAAGGATGAGGTTGGCTCGGAGAAATCCTGCTGCTCGGCTGGGTGCACGCAGAAGACGGAAAAGACCTTAACTGGCTCTCCTCTTTCTTCCGCTGGCACTCACAATCAGTTAAGGATTTAGGTCAGAGAGAGAAAAGGTAAGGAGACTTTCACTGGCGATGTATAAAGCTTGAAGCAGTTCCGCCAGTGGAATTAAAGTTTCAAAAAGGGTGTAGTTTTTAGTGGGTCGGCCAGAACAAGAGCGGTCATCCCCACATAACCTGAGAGTACGATGATCTACATCTATATTGGAATTTCTTATATAATTTCATATATAATTTCTCATATAATTCCCTACTTGGTATCTTAGATGGACAATTAAAATAGTGAAATCCACACATGACATCCTATATGATGAATTCTTACATGAGATCCTACATGGATTCCAATATGCTGAATTCTTACATGGGATCCTATATAAAAATCTGTGTAAACTCTTATGTAGAATCTGACATAAGATCCTATGTATGTTCTCATATAGATTCCTACATAGGATCTTATGTAAGAATTCTTCATATAGGAATACATGTAGGATAAACTGCCGTCTGACAACTGAAAATTCCTATATGAAATCCTATATTGTTTCCTTTATATAATTCTATGTGAAATCTTAGATTGATATTTCAGAATCTACATGAAATCCTATATGATTTCTTATGTTCAAATCAATCATATATATGATCCCACGTGAGGATTTTTAATATGATTTTATGTCAGATTTTTTGTAATAATTTTTTATTCAAGAATGGAAAAAAGATTTGATGTATGATTTGATATAGGAAAATTTTTGATTATGGATTGAGGAATGAATTTTGATAGGTTTTTTTATGAGAAAAAAAACGATGGAAATGGACATAAGAAATTGAAAGAAAAAATGTGACGAGAAAAATTGTTGGATTTCATATAGGAATTTACATAATTTATTACCTAAAAATACGTTTATAAGAATTTACATCGAATCCCACTTCAAATAGTGTCTCAATTTCCTATATGATTTTTCATAAGATCCTATATAGTTTCTTACATGACACATTGGCCGTCGGAGGCGCTAGTTTGTTAATAATTTAACAATCACTTTTAAGGAAAATTACTTTTTGTCATTTTTAACGATGCCAAAACTGGTTTTGGCAAATAACGGTTTGCCAAAACTAGTTTTGCCAATTTTAAACGGCCAATGGTCGAAGTAAATCGGCCACAACTAGTTTTGGCAAAAATGCACCGACCAAAACTAGGTTTGGCTGTTTTTTTCGACCATTGGCCGTATTCGGCTTTTGAGCCTAACATATATATAAAATGGTACTTATATTTCAACTTTCATATTGTGTAAAATATTTTTTTGTTATGTTTATATTTTAAAATCTTTTTCTATAAAGCATCTTATTTTTTTGTTAATTAACCTATCAAAATAAAAAAAAATATTTGTACATTTGATTTGCTATTTTGTACATTCGTTTTTGAGTTATATTAATTTAAAATTTTAATGAGTGCAAATTGTGAGATTTTAACTCTATATGCAAAGTAAAAAAAAATTTTCTAATTTAAAATTTACTTCACTTGATTAAATTCAACCAATTTTTCAAACCTCGACTTAAAAAATTTTTTCAAGAAATTTATTTTATTATATTTATTATACTTGAACTCAACACTTTACCGAAATTATAAATTCGAATAATTTGGATAAAAATTGGACTTTAAATAGTCTGAATAGCCCAGGTTTACGGTATCTTTATTGTATATTTAAGCGCTTTTGCAAAGTATGCTAACAATCGGAAGTTAAATAATGGAGATATTTAACTATTACAATTTAAATATTCATTTCCGGTTAGTTAATGTCAATTTACAACATTTCAAAATTATATAAGATCCATCGCATAGTTGGAGGTGCACATCGAAGAACCGGTTGTAATTTTTTACACTAAAAATCACTAGCCAGTAAATTCAAAATTATACAATTGATTTAAAACGTAGTCTAAGATGTATGCATTGATTCATTAACAACACTTGTTTGATTCATTTTTTTGTTATTGCTTAGATGTGATTAGCTTTAGATTATGATAAATAAAATGAAGTTATTAATATTATATATAGTAATAGCTAGTATAGGAATAGCACATTTAACAATATAAAAAGATGGTTGAATAAGACACCTATTTTGTCCTCTCGCACAGAAAATCATTCTTTATTCTTTAATTCAACTACAATTAACTATACACGAAAAACGTCTTTTTACATAAAATCCTTTTCAAGCTAGGACGCTTCGTCTTAGATAGTGCCTCTTTAGATCACTGCTAACCTCAGTACTGTATGTTTTCACTATACATAAACTCCTCTTCATTCTTTGTTTTCCTCCGCATTGAGTGTTCCAAAAATAGGGAGTTACAAGCCGAGGGAATCATTCAAATTCCCAATAATTAATTCATAAGTTATAAATTTTATGCAGACGAAAGGCATGTGTCTAATATTCCTTTATTTTTCTTCTCTTTAAATTATGTCTCAATATAAACACCAGAATCGCCTCATTTGTCAAACTACTTTAGTAATTAATTTTTGAGTAACTGTGTACACGTAATTTAGTGTCATTTTAACGTTAGTTGGGAGATACTATTCATAATAATGATTACACTATTGTATAAACTAACTAAAAGAAATATGATGGAAAAAAAAATATTCCTATTGCGTATTAAATTTAAAAATAATTATTATTGGATTTTAATTAACTTTTTAAAAAAAGTTTTTGGGGTCGCTGATTATGATTCTGAGAATAGTTGTTGTTTATCGTAAATGTCTTCTACATCTTTATTGGTGTTTTGTACTAACAATAAAATAATTCAATATAATTGATAAAATGTTTGTATTATTGTTTTATTTACCTTTAAAGGATACTACTTAGACAAAATTAATCATAATAGATGTTTTAATTAAATTAAAAACATCAAATTATTCATTTGCAGTAGACATTAATTTTAGAGGAATTGTTTTATTTAATTTTCTTTCTCCTACATACGTTTAATAAATTTTATTCTGCTTAAAAGCTAACTATCTAAAGAATACCTCAATTTTTTTACTTAATTTAGAGGCTATTTTAATTTCTTTCTGCTACTGTTAATCTACTGGTTCCAATTTTTGCTTTGTCCAAGTATTAGTACTTTCACCTTATTGGTAGTATTTCAATTTGACATGATACTGAGATAAATATAAAAAAATACACTACCGGCAGAAATTGTCGGTACGCCTGACGTGCGAGAAGCGGAAATTTGATGCTGACTTTAAAGCAAGATATTTTAAGTTAGAAAAAAGTTAGAGACATGTAACGTTTCACCGCCTTGCTGTTGGGTAATAGAAAAACATGCTCGAACATTTTTTAACATATTTCAGGAACTATAAAACATTTTTAATTCGAGGCGGCGAAAAGTGATGATCGACGGTCGAGTTGTAGAAAAACATGCTTGGACCTTTTTTAACATTTTTCAGGAACCACAAAACATTTTTTAAGTTTTAAAAATGCAAATTAAAGCTAAGACCCTAATGATTATGTTGTAAAATTTTCAAATTTTTCCATACATTATTCTCGATTATGCTAAGAGTCAAAAACACTAGTACGAAACTAGGAAAATTGCATAATTTTTTCTTGAAATGTTTTCGGTGTTTTAAATGCTAAAAAAACAAAAAAAAATTTCTTGATATACATTCAGACGCAGCAATTTATCAGATTTTCAACCATCTAAATTACAAGTCTCTAAGTTTTTTCAATCTTAAAATATCTTGCTTTAAAGTCAGCATCAAATTTTCATTCCTCGTACCGACAATTTCTGCCGATAGTGTATATTTTTTTCAAATGGAGGACAATGAAAACTAATCTTTGTTTAAATGTCGACGAAAATAATTTTATTTATTGACTAAAGAAAAATGCAATTTTTAAAGTAACTATCAGTGTATAAAATTACGACAATTCTCCACAATTGTTTATTATAACTTTTTTTGAGGTTTTACCACTTTGAGAACCCAAAGCTTCCAACTGAAACATAAAAATAAATTGATTAAATTATTGATTGATAATTATACCTACCCTATTGAAAAAATATCACTGTAATGAGCACTCTAATTAGGACCGTAATTACGACCCTAAATACGCCTCTGAATTCGAAACCGGATTTATAGTCGCAATTAAGATTCTAATTACGGTCATAATTACACCCGTTTATAAAAAGTGATTTTTTTTTAAATGCTATAAAAATTTATATTGATTTATAAACGGGTGTAATAATGATCCTAATTACGACCGTCATTAGGATCATAATTACGACTGTAAATCCGTTTTCAAATTCACAGGCGTATTAAGGGTCCTTATTACGGTCATATGTTTTCAATAGGGATAATATTGAATTTAAATTAAAATATTATTCATTACTGAACGTAATAAATTACATCTTGAATTAGAATTTTTACAGTTTACATAAAATTTGCAAGGGTCGTTTATATCAATGTAAATATAAAAAAATAGTTATATTATAGTTACAAATAACCTGTAAATTTCATGAAAAAATATTCAATTGTTTATGAAAAATAAACAATTGAAATTTTAGGCTTAACATTTTTTAAACTTTCATGCCTTCAACAAAAATTGATGAAATCTAATTCCAAACTTTATAAATATAATTTGTACGCTTTCAAAAGTCTTTATTTGTTGTTAAAAATAAATATTTATTATAAACAAATTAAAAAATAGATGTGTTCTGGATGACGATATTTAATTTTATGAACAAAAGCTGAAAGCGTATTTATTAAAGGTTGTATATTAACGAAAAAAAATTGTTTCAAACAAATAGTTTATTAATTACGAATTTTTTTAAAAGCGCGCGCAAGCACCCTGAATGCGTCTACTGCGTTTGACTAAATATCGTGCGCTGTTGTTAATAATAATCACGGTGCGCCTGAAATGGATTTAAATGAAAATACCTTGCACTCTAAAATTTCTTGTCGAGTTTGAATCTTTGAAGCTCCCAGAGTATATTTAAACAAAAAAGAAAATAATCGTCGAAGCAAAACTCGTTCCTCGGGAGTTTTTGGGATCGATGATTAAGAATATGAAGTTAAATTTAAAAAATTCGTTCGCCGCATTGAATTCGTCATTTTGAATTTTTTAAATTTTACTTCATATTCGTAATCAGCGATCCCAAGTTAGACACGTTCGGTCCTTTGAAAGTATATACAGTATTCAATGCAAAATATAAAAAGCTTTTACCTGACGGTACTACAGAATTCGATATAAAATATTTCATTAATAAGTCAGAGTCAATTTTCCCTTCAACTGAGTTACGCGATTGGTATAATGATTATGTAAAGCAGAAAACACTTAAAGCAATTGAAGATTTTCGAGATAAAGAATCAAATTGGCAACTCTATTCAATCCATAGATTAGATGTCAATATTAACAAATACAATCCTTTGCGTGTTGGTTCTTTCATTGATCTACCGCCATCTATAAAAGCTAAACGTGTCTGTGTCAATGTTAGAAATGAAAAGGATTGGCGATTCAAACAGCTACACTAGCGCCACAGTTGAACTAATTTAGGCGTGACTCGCTCTGTAGCACTCCATGTGTTTTAAATTATTTTTTTTTATTTAACGCTTAAAAATAATTTTACAAACGCAATAAAAATATCAGAATAATTAAATAATTTGAAATAAACTGTCAAAACAGAGACTGCTTTAGAGCGAGTCACGCCTAAATTAGTTCAACTGTGGCGCTAGTGTAGCTGTTTGAATCGCCAATAATGAATGCTTCAAGTGGGGAATATTATCGGCATTGTATAAAGCTTCGTCAAACCCATCTCGTTTGCAAAACTATATAAATATTCAACATCATTTAAATTTTACTAATATTAAATTCCCTGTAGAACTCAATGACCTTGCAAAATTCGAAGTGCTTAACAATATTTCAGTAAACGTTTATTGTCTTGTTAAACGAAAGGGGAAATTCATCGTCTCGACAATAGACCTCACCTTAAAGATTATGTCGATTTCAATACTAGTCAAAGAACAATGGCTAGTAATGAATTTCCCTATCGAAAATTCCGATATCGAAACCTATATAGGAAACTATATGGGAAACTATATTGTTTCCCATATAGTTTCCTATATAGGAAGCTATATATGAAGCTATATAGTTAACTATATAGAAAACTATGTTGGAAAATGGGACAGGCAACGATATAGTTTACGATGTAGTTTACTATGTAGGAAACTATGTCAATTCCGATTTTCTTTTTTTTTAATTTAAAAAAATATTATTTAATATTTTTTCACGCAAGAGTATTCTTAAAACTCTACTGAGAATTATTAAACAATTTTTAAATTTAAATTATAATTTAATAAATTATTAAATTTTAAAAGAGCATTTATAAATAAGTTCCCGGTTACACATATGTAACAAATCTAGATCTCTGTTACAAAAAATATATTTGTTTTTATTTAGCGTCAATAATATAAAAAAAAAAAAAAAATTCTTCCGACGTGTTGACTCTGAGACGCGAACCCTCGACCATCATAGCTCTCAACCGCACTAGGAGCGCCTTAACGGGCTCGACCAGGGGAGGCTATGAAATATCTTGAGAAAATGTCTCTTATAACGAAAATACTTTAAACAGATACTTATATTATTTTGTAAAGTCATCAAACAGTTTTTCAGATGTTTATTATTACAAAGAGTATATTATTGTATACATATATTTTTTTCCAATGGTATATGCGTTTTAATACCCAATTTTATATTCGGAGTTTATTAACATCAACATTTAATTTAGAATGACATGAATTTAAATTTTAATCAAGTGAACTCTGCATAAATTTCAATTTTTTTGGAAATAAATTAAGTAACAATGTTCGTATAGCAAATTTTTTTTAATAAACTAATGTAATTTGTATAATGCTAATACTTAATTACAACTCACTTTAAACCAGAATTTTCTTATATGAAATTAATGTGATCAAACATAAATTATTACATAACTACAATTCAATAATTATTTTTTTTTAAACAAGGAAAATAAGTTACATTGACAGAATTCTCAAGTTTTTAAAAGTTCCAAAAAAAAGTTATCAAGCAACAAAAATTTACGCACAATTTTATTATTTTTAAACACTATAATATTAGGGGTACCTCCAATTTTAATAAAACTTGGATCGAAAATTCCGACATCGGAACATAGATTGTAGCCTACATCTGAAACGTTATCTAAATGCATATAGGAAACTATATCGGGAACCATATGGGATGCTATATCGGAAACTATACAGGAATCGATGTTGGAAATTGGGACAGGCAAAGATGTTTTTTCCCATATAGTTTCCCATATAGTTTCCGATATGGTTTCTAAACTAATTTAAAAGAAACCTCTTACAAAGTATTAATTTACAAAACTTTTATAATTTAACAGAATACATATTATTCTAAATGTAATTAAGAAATTTTTACATTTAATATAAAATGTTAATTTGGCAGACATGAAACGTCTTAGGAACGTTCCATTTGCCCACTGAGTAATATGAGATAAAATGTGTAAGAAATTTTATTTAAAAATAGTATAAATTTAGTTGAATTAAATACTACTGCAAAGCATTTTAGCTTTTGGCTATGTTATTATTGTTTCTTATTGTTATTAATATTGATTTTATTGTAAATACTAGAATAATTATTCCTATTTATTAATTGCATGAAGTTTATTCTTGATTGAAATCACAAATTTAGTCTGATATTGGCTACAAAAAGTTGATCAAATGATGCACCATTCCTCATGACTAAAAAAGTTTAATTTTTATAATATTTGTAGTCTTAGGAACATTAGGCATTTCAATACAAATGCAAATTTGGAACTGAACATAAATATTGACAATTAACATTTAGTGACATATAAACACATACTTTTTTAATTTCATGAGAAGGAACAGCAACTTTGTTGTCAATAATTTCTACAATTTTTTTTATCATTCTGCAGTTCTCGTCAATGAAATTTACGGTTACAATTTTTTTTACAATAACATACTCACTCTTTGTAACAGGATCAACTACAAAATTAAACAATTGGACGTAAGTACCATTATATAATATTGCAAAGCTGTTGTTAGAACGCTTGTTATTTTTCAAGCAAGACATAAATAAACAGCTATTTTTTACAATCTTTTTATAAGAAACGGATTTTTCAGAAATGTTCAAATCTATTATCCATTTTTCCTCTACAGATGATGATGGTCCAAAATATCGGATTCCAGAAATTTGTAGAGTTTTTTTTATTCTCACTGTACCAATATTATCATAAAAATCCTTGACTTTAAAGGAACAATTAGGATAAAGGTGATCTTTTAGGAAAAGCATACTATATTGAAGACTGATTTGTCTACAAATTTGGTGGTGAACTCCGTTCGCGGCATGAATTACCTTTAACAATTCTCCGTTTCCGGATTCGAATGCGAAAGCATTATGTGCCCATAGAGGTCCCCAATCAAAAACACTTTTGGATAAATGAAGAAGAATATGCACATTAAATGTCATACTTCTTTTAGTGTATAATAACTCTGTTTTTCCAACAAATTTGTGTAGCAATTCATCAGCCAAGTCTATTTCTGAAATTTTGATTTCATCTTGAAGCAAAAGATAAATACCGTCAACTAAGAGAGTCCAATGTTTAAATAGGTCATCATGTAAAATTGTCTGCAAAATTGGACTGCTATAAAATAAAACCCAATTTTCCCATTCTCTGGCTTTCCAAAATGCCCTTTCAGAAAATAGGCGTGTAAGCCTGCAAATCTGATTTGGAACTTTAATACTATTCAAAGCATTATCAATCGTAGGAATAAAGGTTTTAGAAAATAAACCACCTTTTTCTTTATTCCCAAACCAAATTGTAGCAAACTGTTTTGCTATCCCAGAAATGCAGTGCATACTGTCGAATATGCATCCGTAAATAAAATTAAAATCTATTAAATTTATTAATTGAGATGGTTGTTTTACTCCAAAAACAGATTTTCCTGACTGACATGCGGACTGCATATGCTTTATAGTATCATCATTGTTCCTACTTTTCGGTTTTTCTTTAGTCAAAACATATTTTATAATTCCTGAACGCTTTTTTCTACTATTGAGAACCCATTCTCCAGGATGAAGACATTGGTGACATCCATAACAACCATTAAATTGCACGAATCCCATTACGGGAGCGCGAGCTACTGAATCGCAACAGCATACTTGCGCAAAAATTTTTATGTTCATTTCTTCAACACCTACTTTGCACTTAACCCCAGCAGTTGAAAGAACTTTCATTTTTTGCACAAATGGTTTCAGAAAAACATTCATTTTTGGTTTATCTTTACCGAACCAGAGACCAATTAAAATTAAATTCTTTGACCTAATGTGATAAGGCAATTCGTTTACCATTAGGAAAATGGGCCAAATTGAGTAGGAGGAACTGGTAAATAACGGTGCTCCGTCAGTATTAAATGTAACAGTAGCGTAGCTGCGTTTATCGTTTTCACTTAAATTTTTCACAAAGTTGCGATATAATTTGCCATCATATATATCGCGAATATTGCCTTTATCGTTTATTCTTTCGTTAACTACATATTTATAATAAGTACTGTTACATTCTATTAGTTTTAAAATATGCGAAGAAGCATCCATTGTCACGAAAAAATCTTTGTACTTATAATTTTTTGTGTTAATCTTGGTTTTACACGATTTACATTTTACAAATTTTGTTTCTCGTTTAAATTTACCTACATATGCAGAACATTTTGTGCATGTTGCATGAAGTTCTGTACGATTTTTTGGGTAGAACAATTTATCAATTAAATATTTTGTATTTGGCAAAACGTTGAAAGCGAAAATACAGTTTATTAGTTTAAATAGATTTGTGATTTCTATTAATGACAACGCGTGTACTATTGCATATTTTAGAATCATTAATAATAATTCACTAGGAGTAATCTTTACTGGCACTTGTATTGGAGTTGACATATTATTGTTACCAATCACCTCTGCTATGGATGAGAAACAATTTCTATATGGAAAGTCGTTATTTTCAATTGGTTCACAATCTTCAGCCAGGGAAAGGTTATCGTCATCTGATGATTCCACAAGAAAATTGTCCTCCATATCACTCTGAAATATAATTAAACTTTCTTAGAATATTATAACCAAGATGTATTTCAAGATATTGTATAAATATATAAAATATTACAGAAAACTGCACGTGATCATGTACAGAATTTTCAATACAGTAATAATTAAAAAATACGACTATTATTATATTTATTATTATATTACATGTAATATATTATTATATTATATATAATATATTATTATATTATATTATTATATAATAATAGACGCTTAAAATGAAGAAAGAATATTTCAAATATAATAAATGCTCAGCTTACCTGAGCATATGACATGTTGGGGCATTCTAATTCATCGTCAGAAAATAGTTCCACCACTTTTTCAATTTGATCAGCATGATTTACTGTGCATGGATTAAACAGTTCATTTGTATTTCGTTCAATTTCAAACTGATCATTATTATCATTTATTATGGTTTCGTATGCCTGTAATTAAAAACACATTATTGAAACAAAAAATATATTTATATAAAATTCTATTAATATATTTTCTTAGATTTCTATATTATTATTAAAAAATTTACAAATTATACAAATAATTATACTCTCGTTCAAAATATTCTCTTGTATGGATAATTCTGGTACAAGTGCATCATTTCGACTTTAATATTGCAATATATTTTTAAAAATTTTAATCTTTTCTTGGCTTGATGTTATAACCTTGATTATTTATCAAAATGACATATTTTCCTTTATTTACAATAAATATTTTAAAAATTATTTTAGTTCAATGTTTATTAAAACTCTGTTTATGGGAATGTCAGTCCCATGTGAGAGGAAGCGAATTAACCGAAAGCAGATTTTTATGAGAGCGTAGAGGATAGTGCAACAGTTAGTAAATGGATCTTATAAATTTGACTAGGACTTTAAAAAATTTAACGATTTTCAGTTTACTTAGGCCTAATATAGATATGTAATCTTCTTACTATAAAATTTTCTTCTTCTGAAAGCGCAATTTCAAGGTTTCGATCACGTTCACTCATGGTGTCGTCTGAATCATATTCTTCAATGAAAGGCAATTTTTCTGTTTCTATCTGTATTTCAGCATTTTGTTGAAAACAAGAAAATGAAGATCCACTACCCTGAAAAAAATTTCCATGTAAATCTGCAATTTCGTCATAAATTGTTATTTTTGTATCAATATGTTATAATGGTTTCACACTTCTCCATTACGCTGTTTTTTATTTCGGTACCACGTAGAAGATGGCATAACATTTTCCGATTCTGGATGTAAATATTTCTTATATCTCTTTGGTCTACGGCTATTGTTCATGATGTTATCTAATCCCTAGATTGAAAAAAATGTTATTTTATACGAAATATAAAGCTAAAACAGTTTTTACAAAACATGTTGACTTATGCTTTACTAAAAAAATTATTTAATATTGTTGCCATATACTTAGTGATGAACATAGATTAAAATAAATTACTACATATCGACGCCTCCCGACAGGAAAATGCTTTTCCAAATGTCAATGCAAGAAAAATCTATCTGAGAAACAAGTGCAGTAACACAAATTTATTATAAGTTTAATTTATAATTTATTATTAAATTAAATTAATTAAATTAAAATTTCTTCATAATAATACGTTAACCTTACAAATAAATAAACTTAACATTTAATTATTATTTAAATTTTTTTTATTTAAATTCTGCAGATTTTCTCGAAATCTTCTTGTAAGACGATTTTATGGATAAAATACTGATGATACTTAAATATTGATACAAATTTTTCTACAAATAATATTCTGTCATTGTCACTAATAATCTAAGTTCTGAATTACTGTTTTCCCATAATTATGTATGATGGATATGTATGACAGATAAAAATAGTTAAATTTAGCACATGATGATTGTTATTATCTTATGAAATTAATAAAACAATTTTGAATTTTAAATGACATCTTATGAAAAATATGTAATAATATCTAGTCAATCAAGAACAGATTAATTTTATAAGGGATTGTCGTGAAGATACTTTCAGTGGTGTGTATTGCATCCATAAACTTAAATAGAATATTTTCTTTTCATATGAACAAATGATTGAAATATACTTATAAAGCCAACGATTTCATATCATATATTTATCGTCGATCAGTTTTGAACTTTTTACAATTACCCTTATATGTATAATATGTTTTTGACGCGCGTCTCCCCTTTTTCAAAAAAAACTTAACGTGTATTATTTTCTGCTATATCACCTATTTAATTTAATTGGTAAACACTAAAAAATAACAATTTTACTTACTTGATATAATACTGCTCCTCTTATTACACCTCTTATTATATTATGGTAATTGTAGTCCAATTCAATTATGTAATTTTTTTAATTAACAATTAACAAAAATTAAACTCCGCGAACAAGAATTTGAATGTTAACAGTCAATCCTGGATGCCAGTAAATAATAAGCGTAGCAAACATAGGGATGTTTTCGCTATATGGACAAGGTGAGTTCCGAGGATTGATATATTTTAACCTCAACTTTGTGTCGTTAGGATCCTTATAGTGTTACGTCATTGGCTGATCCAACAGAAACGCGCTTATGCTGATTGGATTATTTTTCCCTCCCTCCCTCCCGCATTTGAAAGTTTTAAAACGTTAAAGTATGCGTAATATCTCCTGTCAGTCACGTGATAAGAGCAGACAATTTTTCTTGACCGAGTAGTGGGTACCAGAAGATCTGCCGGGTACAGTTTTATTGAGTTTTATTTTGTATTTTCTGAGGTCAACTTCGTGTTTGTTATGGAGACTATAAAAGTGGCTCTCGTTTTGTTCCACAACGGTTGTCAGAAAGTGGTGCCAGTGGAATGGATTGAAAAATTTTTTCCAAAAAATGAATCCGACTTCAAACTAAATCAAAAATATAAAATATGGTTGAATGGAAAAAAGGAAAACGATACTCTTTTGAATGGAAACATCCTTCTTTTAGGCCGTAAGTACCATTAAATAAATATTGTTTTTAATTCTTAAACACACATTGTTAATTTTTATACTTTTCTATAAATTTAAAAAAAATTTAAATACTAGAAAGCACGTGTGAAAAATTTTATGCTTGTGTTACTTAATATTGTTGTTATGTCACTGTAATGTTACATTGTAATATTACTAACATTACATGTAACATTACAGTAATGTTACGTGCTACTTCCGAAGATAGAATTAATTTTTAGTTGCATTAGTTACTTCATTTTTAAAAGCTCATGTTCACGACATTACTAATAAATGATTGAAAAAAATTATAATTTTTGTTTTAAAAATATTTTGCAATTTTTCTCTTTGTAATTCAATTTAAAATTTTTTAAATGCTAATATTCTTCTTACATTTCAGTGAGCAAATCGGATATAATTAAGAAAAAGAGTAAAAGAAGATTGAAATATCCGAACAGGCGTAATATGAGTTTCGGTAGTTCTGATATAAGCAGGGCGAAATCTTGTACAAGGTCAATAAATCAAAACAAAAGAAAAAAGAAGCCTGCGGTAAGAGACTTATTGAAATATAAAACTTAAGATTTTCAGCACTATAATAATATTTACGTCCAAAATTTATCTTTATAAATCCTGATTATAAAATAGGAAATTCTTATACAATAATTATATACAATTTTTGAACTAGAACTTAAATGTTTAAAATTTTTCTTAATAAAATTTCTGAATTGCTTTTTTGGTTTAATCAGATTCAATTCCTCAATGTTTTCAATCCAATTTTTTAAAATACACTTATTTTTAAATAAAGAAATTTAATTTCTAACTTAACCATGGAATCACAACGTGAATCAAAAATCTAATTGCATTGTGCTTATTGTATGTTGTTTTATTTAAATCAAATGAATTATATTTAAACCAATAAATTCAATATTTAAAAGTAATAGTACTTAATTAATTTAAATATATGGTTTTTTTATTGAAGTAAATATTTATTTAATGACAGTTAAGTAATCAGTATTTGCATCAAATAATTAAAAAATCAAATTCTTACTATTTCTTATTGCCTTTCATCTTAATTTAGCCAAAATTAAATTTATTTAAAATGTAACCTATGAAAAATTTAATATCCAAAATTATGTGGGTTCTGATAATTCGGTTCCTGTTTCACCTTCATGAATTTTATTTTCATTAATAATAAATTAACTTGAAGTCCACAACGTTAAACAAAAAAGAAATTGTCAATAAATATTTTATTTAATGACAACGCAGCACTATTGATAATAACAACAGAGATATATGAAAAAATAGTATTTTTATTTGCGCTTAAAGAGAAATTAGATATTTCTTAAGATTAATCTAATATTACTTTAAATAAATTTCTTTCATTGATCATCGTTGCAGTCTACGACTTTGTTAAAAAAATATTTTAATAGTATTTTTCTTCTGTAAAATTTATATTATTTTTCACTTCAATAATTTTTCTGTAATGATTTACATTTATGCATATAGGCTGAAAAAGAGAGAGAAAAGTTGACAAGTTCAGCAAACAATAAAGAGAATAAGCGAATTTTAAAAAATTATTCGATTTTAGTGAAGAATCGAAATAGAATTGAGAGTTCTTCATCAGATGACGAAGGAGGAGAAGAAAGTGTAAAAAGTGGTAAGCATTTTTATAATTTTACTTACAAATTTTTTCTTTTTGTCAGAATGCAATGGATGACCGCTTTTTTTTACCGGCCATAAAAAATTTCCAAAGAAAATTATTTTATAACATTATAGTAAAAATTCATACCTTACTTATTTATAAAACAAAATTTTTTTCAATGTAATAATGACTCTTTCTTAAATGGAACATATTCAATAGACAGGGTTGCCACAATATTTCCATTTTGAAATTCCCAGACTTTTCCCGGTTTTTCAGGTAAAAAAGTAACTTTTTCCCTCACTTCAGAAATTTTAAATTGCAGTTGAAATAATAAAGGCGTTGAAAATTTCAAGCTCTTCAAATATAATAAACAAGAAAGAATTTCCAAATTTTTTCGGTCTAATTCGAAAGTGAATCGAGTCGAGTTGTGGCAGCTCGTAATTCGAAGCTTCGGATTTCGAATTGGTTTTTTCGATTCGAATTTCGCCTTGTCTATTCGAATAATATTCGGTTTGAATTAATTACGCACACCTCTAACTTCTATGCAAATTATTTTTATGTGTGATTGCAGTTGAAATATCTGCAAAAAATAATACTAATGATGAGGAAGATAAAGCATCTACAAGGTCATCACCAAGAAATAATATTTCAACTTCTACAATATTACATGAACAAATTCAAGATATTTTAACAAACGGCAAGTAAAATGTTGAATGTAAAAAAAAGATAAATGACATTTCTTGTTTTCAACCTTTTATTATATTACAATAAAAAAATTTTATTTTTCAAGCAAAATGCTTTGAAAAATTTTGCATCATGTAAAATTTAGCTAATATTATATTAAGGGGTTACATACCTTTTTGTAAGGTAAGAATGAGAAATTTTCATGAATTTTTCGTAGGCTTTTCTTTAAAATTTTTGAAAATAAGTAGTACTCGATTGGATGTACTTGTATAAAATTATTTATTAAAAAATATTGGCATTTGTTGAAACTGTGGACCTCTCACGAAAATGCCTAATTTTAACTGTCGATTGCGGTCATTACGATAAATGAGGAAAACTTTAAATGAAATTAAAAAATGAAATAAATTTCCTTCGTTTATTATGTCACCTCGTTTGTGAGTTCGAACAAAAAAAATCTTGGAAAAAATTTCCAGACAACAGGCAATCATTTCTTCTCAAAAATCGTGTTTTGGGAGATCAAAAAACATCTTTTAACAATGAAAAATCATAATGTTTGTTTAAATTAATATTTTTCAATAAAAAAATTTATATAAATACATTCAAACATGTACTACATGATGAAATATATTTGATTTTGAAAAATTCCAAAGAAATGTATAAAGAAATTCATAAAAACTCTTCAATTTTACAGGGAAAAAATGTATGTAACCCCTTAATATTACTTGTTAATATTGATGCAATATTACCCGATCTAGTTGAGAGAATATTAGTATTAGTGGCACGAATATAATAATTTTTTTTTAAATATAAATTATTCAAATCTTTGATAAACTAACTCACTTTTTGAAGAAGTAGAGAAAAATATTTCATTATAGTAAATGATTAACCTTTATTTCATTTTTAGTTTTATTTTTGGGGCTGAGTAATTGCAAAAATTTGAAGTTCATATTATAATACTAAGGTAATATTATTAATTACATTATTAATACTCAAGAATATAAACTTTTTTAGGACCAAAAAAAAGAATTTTTTATTCTTGTCCAAGTTCAGCTACATTCGAATCTACAATACCAAACAATGCAGAGGAATCAACTCAAGAGTATCATGGTAACTTTAACATTAATTACTTATTGAATTTATTAATTTCTTGCGTAAGAAAATTAACATTACAAATTCAAGATAATGATTATCTGGAATTTGTAATTGTAGACTTTGAATTTTTGTCTTTTTATAAATTCTAATTGTTTAGTATTTATTTATTTAATTTATTTGTAGGTATTTTTTATTTAGTTTTTACCTTTGTTTAATTTATTACCTAAAATGTAGCAGGTCATTAACCTAACGTCGCAAAAAAATTTTAAAACAAGGAAGTGAAATTTAATTAAAATTCTTTTTATTTTTCCTTAAATATTCTTATAAAATTTTCAGATCAAAGAGGGACCACGCATTCAAATTTAATGGGAAATTGTTCTTCATATGATACCACATTGTTAAGAGAAGGCGAATCTTTTGAAACCCAAAATGGTAGGTATTATCAGTTGATACACAGATAGCATGTAATCTTGCGGAAAGTTTATGCAAACTTCAAATGTTCAAGTTTCAAATGTTTGAGCTTCAAAATTACCTAATTTTAAGAAAATTAAAAAAAAAATTTTCTAATTTCATACAGTATTAAGGCGGAATCTCACATACAGTCGTTCAATGTCACAATTTTGTATTTAATAAGAAAGATATATTAAATTTTTAATTTATCTTAATGGAAGCGTAAGGAATATAATTTTCAACAATTTAAACAATTAAAAGTTGCATTGGAATAAAGTTACAATTTTCTGTCATAAAGAACTATTTTCTAATTTTAGGTTATGTTACCTAAATCATTTTTTAATGACAGAAATTTTTAGTTTTAATTTAAATAAAAATTTATATTGTTTAAAATGTTGGCAATTAAATTATTTAAGCTTTCACTACATAGAATTTAAAATGTAGTTCAACTTTTTCATATAAAATACGAAATTATCACATCGGAATAACTTTTATTCCGATTCTTTGTCCGAAACTTCCTTAAAACAGATTCTATGATTTAATACTGTATAAAATTGAAAAAATTTTGTTTTAATTTTCTACAAAATTAGGTAATCTCGCGCAAGCTTTCGACAAAATTACTGCAACGTTATGGCTATCCTGTGGCAAAATTGTCGTGCAATATTGCCGTGGTGGGACATTTGAAGCTTGTACCGGAATATTGCAAATATACCACGGCAAACTTGCTGCAAGATTACGTGCTATCTGGGTAATAATATTAATAATGATTTTTAAGTATTAAATGGTATAATACCTGAACCAAGTATAAGTAAAAGGATTCAACATCCTAGAAAAAGACGAAGCAGAATGTATGAACATGATACCAATACAGACGAGAGAGATCAAGTAAGTGATATTCAATATAATGAGATAATTATTAATGTAATTAAAAAAAATGTCAAGGCATTGAATTAAATTTGAAAAATGTTATCAATATTCGCGGTAGATAATTGGCGCCAAGTAAAAATTGCGAATATATAGACATTTCACGTGAAATGTCCCAAGTTAAGAAATTAATTTCTAGAAACAAGATGTAAATTGGTAAAATTGTTAAAAATCAAGGTCAAATTAAAAAAATTTGTAAAAGCGAAAAACTTGTAATTTCTTCATTTATAGTATTTAATTTAGTATGATTGCAGTTTGTCAACATTCAGTCATGAATTAATTTATTCAAATTTAGGTTTAAATTATTTCAAGATTTTTTCTTTTCTAAAAGTTTCAGATCTGTGAAGGTATTTCTGTCCACATGGATGTATGGCAGTCTATAAAGACTCAACGTGATTCGCAATTTGTCAAGGACTTGGCTGAAATCATTTGGGGGACCACTACATTACAAAAGCGGTGTTTGGACAGTTCAAAATTAACATATGATAAAGAAAGAAAACAGTTGACTCCCGAGAAATGCAAAATAATAATAAGTAATTCAACATCTTGCTCATTATAACTATACCCATTTAGTTTTATCATTTTTTAAAATATTTATTTTTTTTTTTTTAATAGATCACTTACAAAATAAGGTTACGGAAAGTAAAGTGACTGGATGCAAGAGATTATCCAGAGTCAATAAATTTTGGTCTTACATGACAGAAAAAATTTATGATTCAAGAAGAAAATTAAATTTTACGTCTGTTGAAGAAGTCTAACGAATTAGAAAAAAAGTTTTTATTGAAAACTAGGAAAATGTATATGTAAAACGCGTTTCATCGCCATTTCAATTGTTTAACAATTTGACTTTAAGATTTTATTTAAAAAGTTTACTTTTTCGAAAAACCATTTAAATTGTTTTTTTTAAAACAAAAAAAATTGAGTTATTTCATATAATTTATAAAACATTAATTTTGAAAAAATGTTATAATTTTGTTCAAATATATTTCATGTTATATAAAATTATTTAATAAAATATGACTGAATGTATAAATTTTTTATTTATTCAGCCCTCTGTCTAATCATATGACCTTTCTCGTTTAAAAAGATTTATTTTGACTTCTTGTGATAATATATTACTTTTCATAGACAAAAATTACAATTACATATATTTACTATTTACATTTTATTAATATATTGTATCCAGAAAATAATTATTTTAAGTTTTAACATTCTACTTTCATCTTATTAATCAAAATTAAAAAATGAAAATGCACATAAATATTTAAATATAATGTGTTAAAATACGATACAAATGATTAATATAGTTCAAATTGATTAAATCTGGTTTTAGAACGATATCGGAAACTATATGGGAAAATACATCTTTGCTTGTCCCAATTTCCAACATCGATTCCTGTATAGTTTCCGATATAGCATCCCATATGGTTCCCGATATAGTTTCCTATATGCATTTAGATAACGTTTCAGATGTAGGCTACAATCTATGTTCCGATGTCGGAATTTTCGATAGGATAACGTATTTTGGTGCGTTAATTATGAAAATGATAGTGAAAATTGAAGCAAATTTGATTAATCATGGTAAAAACCATAAAAAACACCATAAAATCATGGTTTTTTTGCGATTAACTCGTAAAAAACGTAAAATTTCGAAAAAATTTTTAGGCAAAAGTTGTAGATCTCAAAAAACGTACATTTTATCTCCTATGCATTTTTTACCAAAAATCATAATTTTTCGAGAAAAATCTAAAAAACCATAACTAACATATAAAAATGATCACTTTTGGTAAAAATATATACGAGATAAAATGTGTGTTCTATGAGATCTATAACTTTTGTTAAAAAATTTTTTTGAAATTTTGCTTTTTTTACGAGATAATCGCAAAAAACAACGATTTTAACGTGTTTTTTATGGTCAAGTTTCGCCTTAAACATTTTGTCGGTTTTTACCATGATAATCAAATTTGCTTCAATTTTCACTATCATTTTCATAATTAACGCACCAAAATACGTTAGTATACCAAGTTTTATTAAAATTGGAGGTACCCCTAATATTATAGTGTTTAAAAATAATAAAATTGCGCGTAAATTTTTGTTGCTTGATAACTTTTTTTTGGAACTTTTAAAAACTTGAGAATTCTGTCAATGTAACTTATTTTCCTTGTTTAAAAAAAAATAATTATTGAATTGTAGTTATGTAATAATTTATGTTTGATCACATTAATTTCATATAAGAAAATTCTGGTTTAAAGTGAGTTGTAATTAAGTATTAGCATTATACAAATTACATTAGTTTATTAAAAAAAATTTGCTATACGAACATTGTTACTTAATTTATTTCCAAAAAAATTGAAATTTATGCAGAGTTCACTTGATTAAAATTTAAATTCATGTCATTCTAAATTAAATGTTGATGTTAATAAACTCCGAATATAAAATTGGGTATTAAAACGCATATACCATTGGAAAAAAATATATGTATACAATAATATACTCTTTGTAATAATAAACATCTGAAAAACTGTTTGATGACTTTACAAAATAATATAAGTATCTGTTTAAAGTATTTTCGTTATAAGAGACATTTTCTCAAGATATTTCATAGCCTCCCCTGGTCGAGCCCGTTAAGGCGCTCCCAGTGCGGTTGAGAGCTATGATGGTCGAGGGTTCGCGTCTCAGAGTCAACACGTCGGAAGAATTTTTTTTTTTTTATATTATTGACGCTAAATAAAAACAAATATATTTTTTGTAACAGAGATCTAGATTTGTTACATATGTGTAACCGGGAACTCATTTATAAATGCTCTTTTAAAATTTAATAATTTATTAAATTATAATTTAAATTTAAAAATTGTTTAATAATTCTCAGTAGAGTTTTAAGAATACTCTTGCGTGAAAAAATATTAAATAATATTTTTTTAAATTAAAAAAAAAGAAAATCGGAATTGACATAGTTTCCTACATAGTAAACTACATCGTAAACTATATCGTTGCCTGTCCCATTTTCCAACATAGTTTTCTATATAGTTAACTATATAGCTTCATATATAGCTTCCTATATAGGAAACTATATGGGAAACAATATAGTTTCCCATATAGTTTCCTATATAGGTTTCGATATCGGAATTTTCGATAGGGTTGAGAAAAACTTGTTTAAATTAATGAACAATGCGGTGTATGGTAAGACAATGGAGAAGGTACGTAATCACGTAAACGTGAAACTCGTGACAAAGTGGGAGGGTGGGTACGGGGAAGAAGCTTTAATTGCTAAACTTAACTTCCACACAAGAGCTATCTTTAGTGAAAATTTGATAGCTGTGAAACTTAGGAAGACTGAGGTGCACATGAATAAACCGATTTATATAGGTCTTAGCGTTTTAGACATTTCGAAAACTCTGATGTACGATTTCCATTATGATTATATGAGGAAAAAGTATGAAAACAACTGTAGACTACTTTATACTGACACTGACAGCCTTATTTATAATATCAAATGTGAGGATGTCTATTCTGATATGAAAGCAGACATTTTCAAATTTGATACTTCTGATTATCCCATGAATAATGTATATATGGCATTCCGCAAGCCAACAAAAAAGTGTTAGGTCTTATGAAAGACGAATGCAATGGGAGGATTGTCACTAAATTTGTTGGTTTGCGTAGTAAAATGTACAGTTTACGTGTGGATAATCAAGATTTCTTAAAAAAGGCAAAAGGTGTAAAGTCTAATGTAGTTAAGAAACATATAACTTTTAATGATTACATTTATTGATTAAAAAATATTAAAATTCAATCTCGAACTCAATATTCTATTCCCTCCAAACTCCACAAGGTCCTTACTTTAAAACAGAAAAAATAGCCCTAAGTCCCTACGATGACAAAACATTTTTATTGAAACATAACAATGACACTCTTGCATGGGGTCATTATATTATAGAAAGAGGTAAAGTCATGGAAAGTGATGTAGAAATTATAGAATTATAAAATAAAATATAAGTATTATATTGTAAATAGAAAATACAAATGTAATTTTATCTATATTTATAAATATTTATTGATGTTATTTATTATATTGATCAATCTTTTATTGATGTTGTTACACCCATTGGTTTTTAAATAAATGAAATTTTTTTTCTATATACACTGAAACTTTGTCTACTTTTATTTGATAGAACCTTAATATAGTTTAACAGTTAGAAAATAAAGAGATTCACTACAAAGTTTACATTTTTATACATATTTTATTTAAAAATAACTTTAATATAAATACAATACATTATTACATTTTAGTTTAACATTACTTCAAAGTCGGTTTAACTTTTCTAAAAGTTAACTTTAACTTTTTCAAAATTTAACATTAACTTTTTCAAAAGTTAATTCTAACTTTTAAAAAATTTTTAATTTCTGATTTATTTATCCAGCTATTGCGAGAATTATCAAATCCAAGTCATTTTACAGAGACTTTATTCTGACGATTTTTGAGAACTTTCCGTCAAATATTCAGATGTTTACATCTGAATATTTGACTTTGAAAATTTCTTCTTCATAGAAACCACCTTCGATGGGTTAATCTTGATAATCCTTCAGCTTGTATGTTACCGGATTCGTTGATTTTACTTGATTGATGGAGAATATTTCAGTTTTCCAGTTGGGTGTGTATCCTTTTTCAAAAACATTTTTATACTTGCTAACTCGCACTCGAACTGATACCTCGACTGATACCAATAGCCTTGGCTATAAAATTAAATGTGTAGATATCTACTTTGATATGAAGGTAGATATTTGCAAATTTGATACATCGGATTAATCAGCTAATAATTTATATGACATTCCGCAAGCTAACAAAAAAGTCTTAGGTCTCATGAAAGATGAGTGCAGTGGGAAAATCGTAACAGAATTTGTTGGATTGCGGAGTAAAATGTGCAGTCTTCGCGTTGAAGGTCAAGATTTAAAAAAAAGGTTAAAAGTATCAAGACGGCAGTTGTGAGAAATACTATTACTCTCAATGATTGTCTATTCTGCTTAAAAAACGTTTAAATTTAATCTTGCTTAATCGTATTCAGTATATTAAAAACACATTCTTTTAACTTTTCAAAAAGTTAACTTTAACTTTTCAAACAGTTACATGCTTTTTTCATATAATTTTTCCCCAAGTTAAGCAGGAGAGACAACTACGTTGAAAGCGTACAATGATGGAAGGAACACAGGGTGGGGTACACGGTAAGAGGATCCTTAACTTGGGTTAGAGTGCGAAAGACGAATTTGGGTGTTCATACTAACACATATGCAATGTAAATACGCTATATGCCCCATGCGGCAAAACATTGCAGCATTCTTAAGCGAAGGGGCAGCAAATGGCGAGGTTTTGAGTAAAATAATCGCTGAATGTATATTATTGCTAAAGAACAGTGGTTTTTATGTGGATGTAGTAACAACAGATGAAGGACAGTGGAATAGGGGAATGTGGAAGTGTTTTGGATTAAAAGGTTTAGATGCTAGTTGTGTTCACCCTTCAGCAGAAAAATTGTGACAATCTAGGCGATGATCTTTCGATAAAGAAGTCTGTGGTTTTGCAGTGATTGTTCTCACCTCCTAAAAAACTTACGTAATTTTATGATGTCAAAGGAGGCAATAATGGTAAAAATTTTCATGAAATATACCTGCTATGGAAAATGATTTATACTTTTTATTTATTATTTTAGACTCTTGATGGTGTATTTAAGAAGGAACATTTTCGTTCTGTCATTAGATGTGATGGTGGACCAAAAAATTTGGGTCTGAAAATTGCTTATAAGTTTACACCAGATCACATAGACCC